AGAGAGGGACGTTTGCTTGGTTCGATTAGGGAAGTCGAACTCGTGATGATACTGTTTCTCAGATTGATGTAGCCCTCAGAGGCATAGGACACATCCATGCAGATGTAGCAAGAGCTGAAATAGCTACTATTCTTAAGAATGCTAAGAAACCCACTAGTAACATCAGCAAAAACGAACGCTCTGAACTCGCGGACCTAAAAAAGAGAGATGATAGTCATCCTCTCGGCAGACAAGGGCACGGTCATCATGGATAAAGATTCATACAACAACAAAATGCTGGACCTTCTTAATGATGGGAGTTACTCCAAAATTAAAAACCACTAAACCTCGAACAATTAAAACCCTCTAAACCCCTAACTATCTAAATCCATAACCATCTAAACCGCTAACCCTCTCAACCCCTTTACTCTTACAACCCTAATCTTAAACTCCTCGCCCTCTAAAAGCTTAACCTCTAAACCCCCAAAACCCTAACCATCTCAACCCCTAACCCTCTAAATCCCTATACCCCGAACCCTTAACCCCTTTAACCTTAAAACCCTAACCCACCAAAACCCTCACTCTCTAAACCAGGGGTCTCAAACTCAAATTACCTGGGGGCCGCTGGAGGCAGTATCTGGGTGAGGCTGGGCCGCATCAGGTATTCCACAAAAAAAACTTTGCTAAAAAAATCCAAACCTCTCAATGTCATTACTAACAGTTATTTAACTTCAATGGGTTCTTCTGAACATGAATAGAATATTGAAGAACATGAACGGTTCTTATGAACATGGCTTCTCTTGCCTACTTCTTGCTGCCGGAGACCTGGCAGCGCTTCCTCTCATATAGCTGAGCCACATTTGGCTTGAGGGAGGAAGCAGTTGAGACCCTCAGTATGGCTTGAAGATGATCATCAGTAAGTCTGGACCTGTACTTGGACTTATTGAAGTTCAAGGTGGAGAAGAGCTTTTCACACAAATATGTGCTCCCAAAAAGGCACATGGACCGCTTGAACATTCGGGAAAGCTCAGGGAAGCTGGGGTTCAATTCTCGCAAAAATTGTCCAAGCTTGTCTTCTTTTCCACTCACCTCCCTGAACTTGACTTTGAGGTCAGAGTTGCACTGCAGGTCAATGAGCTCCATTTGAAGCACAGGAGGGGCATCTTGCACATCAAAGGAGAAGGGATCCGCAAAACTTTGAAAAGTGGCTCTGTGCGTCTTGAAGTCTGCAAATCTGTGATCAAATTCCTCCTGTAGCCTCAAAATGGCATCAACATACTTCTCACCACTGAATGGTGTGCCTGCATTCAGGAGTGCCTTGCATGCTGGGAAATGGCAAAGGTTTGTCTGAGAGAGCTCGGCTTTCCATAACACAAGTTTTGTGGAGAATGCTCTCACGTTGTCATAGGCAGCACTGACGAGCTGCCCCTGGCCTTGTAACTTCGTGTTCAGTACATTCAGCTCATGCGTGATGTCAACAAGAAAAGCTAAGTCCATGAGCCATTTGGGATCACTTAGCACAGGAACAGCCACCCCATCCTTCTCCATGAAGGCTTTCACTTCTGCTCTCAACTCAAAAAATCTCTTCAAGACGTTTCCCCTGCTGAGCCAACGTACCTCGGTGAAGTAGAGCACATCCTCATATTCTGACTCCATTTCCTCTAAAAAGTACGGAACATCCGGTGCTTTAAGCCCCTGGATCTGATTTGGTTGATGCATTTCACAACAACAGACATCACATTGTCAAACTTCAGGCATTTGCTGCAAAGGGCCTGCTGATGGATGATGCAGAGCAATGGCCTCCTCCACACCCTCCTCTTCTAGTTTTCTTTGAACAAGTGCCACCAGTCCATTTTTCCTCCCTGTCATTGATGGCGCTCCGTCGAATGTTATTCCAACAACCTTCTTCCATGGCAAACCGGCATTCACAATGGCATCACGCAGCTGGCAAAATATCTCCTGAGCGGTGGTGTGGCCATGCATTGGAATTACTGTGAGCAACTCCTCCATCACTTCAAAATTGTCATCAACACCACGGACATATATTGTGAGCTGGGCAGTGTCAGTGATGTCTGAACTCTCATCAAGAGCGACTGAGTATGCATTGAAAAATTTGGCTTTCTCACGCAGTTGATCATAAATGTCACTTGACAGGTCAGAAATGCGCTCTGCCACGGTGTTAGCAGAAAGGCTGATTTTAATTTTGGAGCTTTCGTGACTGCAGGAATTATTCTTTGGTTTTTTTCGGTAAAGTCACGTATAAAAATAAAATAATAAATTAAATAATAGCATACGACGTTTCGATTGCAACACAAGCAATCATCATCAGGTATAATGAAATAGCGACATAGAATATAACCAGAAAACTATAGACAGACATATAAGCAGACAGATATCACCAAGATACATAGAGAGAGCAACCCAGGTACAGAGAGAGGTGATCGTCTCTGTGGGGTGGCCTTAAATAGACAGAGGGGGGCGGAGGCAGAGAGAGGGAGGGGGTAGGGAAAACATTTACATGTCAATGAGTACGAAGGGAGGGGAGTAAGGTAAGCAGGCTTAGAGGGAGACAGAACACACTAAATTAAATAACCTAGCAAAGTATCGAAATGTTATGTAAAACGACACAGAGAGTCGGTCAACACACAATTAACGCATTGCCTGGTCGATTACGTATTTCAAAGATTGCTAAGTTAGAATTTAAATTCCAAAGAAAGACAAAACATAAAAATAGAGGAACGGAGACACACAGACAGAGCAGAACCTAAGAACGATACAAAACGAGTGTAGACAGAGAAAATTACACTAAATATACAGGCAGAGAGAGAGAACAAGAAACCCAGAGAGAGAGAAAAAGGTAAACTTGGAACTTCCCCGTAGAAGTGGTTCAATCTTAATTTGGAGCTTTCGTGACTGCAGGAATTATTCTTTGGTTTTTTCGGTAAAGTCACGTATAAAAATAAAATAATAAATAATAAATATGTTTTGTCTTTCTTTGGAATTTAAATTCTAACTTAGCAATCTTTGAAATACGTAATCGACCAGGCAATGCGTTAATTGTGTGTTGACCGACTCTCTGTGTCGTTTTACATAACATTTCGATACTTGCTAGGTTATTTAATTTAGTGTGTTCTGTCTCCCTCTAAGCCTGCTTACCTTACTCCCCTCCCTTCGTACTCATTGACATGTAAATGTTTTCCCTACCCCCTCCCTCTCTCTGCCTCCGCCCCCCTCTGTCTATTTAAGGCCACCCCACAGAGACGATCACCTCTCTCTGTACCTGGGTTGCTCTCTCTGTATCTTGGTGATATCTGTCTGCTTATATGTCTGTCTATAGTTTTCTGGTTATATTCTATGTCGCTATTTCATTATACCTGATGATGATTGCTTGTGTTGCAATCGAAACGTCGTATGCTATTATTTAATTTATTATTTTATTTTTATACGTGACTTTACCGAAAAAAACAAAGAAGAAAGGCTGATGTTGCTCAACTGACCTTTCTTTTCCGGACAGACTATACTTGCAGCCTGTAAGATGCACTTTTTGATAAACTCGCCTTCTGTGAATGGCTTTCCTGCCTTAGCAATCATCTCACTAACCACGTAGCTTACTTCGACTGCTGCATTATTCTCTTTGGTTGCTTTCTTGAAGACATTTTGTTGCCTCAGTAGACATGTTTTAAGATTGGCAACCCGGTTGGCTCTCTCATCTCCCTGGTATTTTGCATACTCCTCAGCATTTTTAGTTGAGTAATGACGTTTGAGGTTGTATTCCTTGTGCACCGCAACTTTTTCTGTACAAATAAGACACGTCGGGGTGCTCATGTGCTCGACAAAGAAATATTGCATCTCCCACTTTTCCTGAAATTGTCTGTGCTCGTCACCAACCTTTCTCTTCACTGCAGGCTTTGAAAAAGACATGATTGGGGCTGTGTGACAAGATATATATTCATTCCACTTGCTGTCGCTCACGCAATAAAGTTTCAGTCACGTGTTTAGCCAACCAGCGACGCACGGAGACGTAATTTCCGCAAATGCACGTCATTTCCGCTTTTTCCCGTAACAACAGGTGCGTAGATTATGGGGGGGGGGGAGGGTAATGCGTTCCCATCAGATTTCGTCCCCACACCCCAGTCACAGGCAGACACAGCTGTAGCGGCTGCTACTATACACGCTTCTCTGTTCAAAGCACGGGGATCTGAGCCGGGATGAGCTGTGGATCTGCGCTTTGACGCGCTCTGGTGCGCGCACAGTGGAGAGCCGAAAGAGGGAGAGGAGAGGACTATATGAGGCAGCGTCATTGTGTGACCACGGGGTTCAAATGTTGCTGGCCACTGTCGGGGCTTTCGCTGCCTTCAGTCACATCATCACATTTTTCTATACATTTCTGTGCTTACTTTGTGCCGGCGTGTTGGCTTGCCTGCGTTCCGGGACTTATTTGAGCAGATCCGGTACCTCTAGTATCGAAAAAAATATGAATATTAAAAAAAGTTTTTTAAGAAATGATTAAAATAAAATATAACAATATAATGTAATCACTAGAAAATTACGGAGCCCCTGTTGACATCGGTGGATGAATTACTAATTTGTGGCCACGCAATAACAAGATAATCTAATAAGTTATATATAAAGCTTTCTTAACAACAGCATCACAATTTCATAAAATAATAACAAATGCAGACTTCTAAGATGAACCAAAATAATTATGCACATCGTCATGTAAAGTCTGTGGCTCGGTGCGTAAATGTCACCACCAGAGGATGAGGGAATTTAAATAATTAAAATTCATCCACACATCAGGTGTAAATAATAATGTAAAACAGCCCAGACTGTAAAATGTAGATATTAGCTCAATGACGTGTTATAAACTGCTGCGGTTTAGAATAATCCGTCTGCGTAAAGAAGCTCCCAACACCTCACAGCGCAGCGTGTGTGTAAAGGAGCCGTGTTGTCCCTTGAATTTGCCTTCAATTTAACAAATTGTGTGTGTGTGTTCTGTTCGTTTTCTCCACTGGACACAGAAGTCGCCTTTGCTCAAGATGCCACTTTATTAATCACTGACACAAAGACTGATACCGTCACTGCAGTATAGCCTAAATAAATCCCACTGCATTGTAAGTGGCATGTGTGAGCTGTTTTAAGCATCGTTTTACGTGCGTTTTGGGGCCTGTGCTCGTTGTACCTGCGCTGTCATATGTACTTAGCGTTCCGGCACCTTGTGATTTACAAATGAAGCACTGGATACATCATGACCTGCGCGAAAGAGGGCGGAAAACTATGAATTTCACCCTCCTGCTCTCCGCACATCCAAAGCCACTCTTTTCTCTCCCGGCTCTCTCACTCACTCTCACACGTACACAAACACACAGACACACGACCCCGCCCCCCATGTCACTCACATGCATGCCGCATTCACTGGACAGGCACACAGTAGGAAACCAGAGCATCATAACATTGTCCCACACAGCAGCTAACAGCGGGGTTGCTACAATATAAAACTCGCGGGCCGCACTAACATTAAACTTTCATATTAAGGTGGGGGCCACAAAATATCGTCCCGAGGGCCGCAATTGGCCCGCGGGCCGCGAGTTTGAGACCCCTGCTCTAAACCCCTTATTCTTTTAACCCTAACCGTCTAAGCCATTAAAAACCAAACTCTCTGAATCCCTAACCCTCTAATCCTTGAAACCCTAACCTTCTAAAACCCTAAATCCCTAACATTCTAAATACCAACCAATCTAAACCACTACCCTCTAAAGAACTAACCCTCTAGACCCCTAACCCTCTGAACTCATAACCTCCTAAATCCTCAACCTCTAAAATCCTAACCCTCAAAACCCTAACGTTCTAAAAACCTAAATCTGTAACCTAATCCCAACACATTTAAACCCCAACCCTCTAAAGAACGAACCCTCTAGAAGCCTAACCCTTAAAACACCTATGCCCCTAAAATGCTAACCCTCTAAACACATAATCCACTACACCGGAACTCCCTAAACCCATAAAGGTTTTTTTTGTTAGATTATGTAAATATAAACTTGTCGTTAAACCAACCACCACCCGAAACAGCCAATTAGTAAAATTTGTCACATCAACAAAAAGTGCCATTTAGTGTTGGAGACTAACCCAAAAAAAAACTTTATTATGGACAATATTAGTTGTGAAAGTCTAGGTGTTAAACCCTCAACTCTCAAACCAATAAACCCCTAACACTGTAAATCACTAACCTTGAAACCCCGATACCTCTAAACCCCTAAACCTTATAAACTCCTAACCCTCTAAACCACTACCCCTTTAACAATAAACCCCATAAAATCTCTAAAGACCTAATTCTCTAAACCGAGAATCCTTTAAACCTATATCCTTCTAAACTGTAACCCTCTAAAACCCAACCCTCAAAACCCCTTTACCCTTAAAACCATAACGGTCTAAACCCATCACCCTCTAAAATCCTAACCCATAAACCCCCAAACCTCTAACCCACTGAACCCTTAACCTAAACCCTTACAGTGAGGGAAAAAAGTATTTGATCCCCTGCTAATTTTGTACGTTTGCCCACTGACAAAGAAATGATCAGTCTATAATTTTAATGGTAGGTTTATTTGAACAGTGAGAGACAGAATAACAACAACAAAATCCAGAAAAACGCATGTCAAAAATGTTATAGCTTGATTTGCATTTAATGAGGGAAATAAGTATTTGACCCCCTCTCAATCAGAAAGATTTCTGGCTCCCAGGTGTCTTTTATACAGGTAACGAGCTGAGATTAGGAGCACACTCTTAAAGGGAGTGCTAATCTCAGCTTGTTACCTGTATAAAAGACACCTGTTCACAGAAGCAATTAATCAATCAGATTCCAAACTCTCCACCAAGGCCAAGACCAAAGAGCTCTCCAAGGATGTCAGGGACAAGATTGTAGACCTACACAAGGCTGGAATGGGCTACAAGACCATCGCCAAGCAGCTTGGTGAGAAGGTGACAACAGTTGGTGCGATTATTCGCAAATGGAAGAAACACAAAATAACTGTCAATCTCCCTTGGCCTGGGGCTCCATGCAAGATCTCACCTCGTAGAGAACGGTGAGGAAATCAGCCCAGAATTACACAGGAGGATCTTGTCAATGATCTCAAGGCAGCTAGGACCATAGTTATCAAGAAAACAGTTGGTAACACACTATGCCGTGAAGGACTGAAATCCTGCAGCGCCCGCAAGGTGCCCCTGCTCAAGAAAGCACATATACATGCCCGTCTGAAGTTTGCCAATGAACATCTGAATGATTCAGAGGACAACTGGGTGAAAGTGCTGTGGTCAGATGAGACGAAAATGGAGCTCTTTGGCATCAACTCAACTCCTCGCCATGTTTGGAGGAGGAGGAATGCTGCCTATGACCCCAAGAACACCATCCCCACCGTCAAACATGGAGGTGGAAACATTATTCTTTGGGGGTGTTTTTCTGCTAAGGGGACAGGACAACTTCACCGCATCAAAGGGACGATGGACGGGGCCATGTTCCGTCAAATCTTGGGTGAGTACCTTCTTTCCTCAGCCAGGGCATTGAAGATGGGTCGTGGATGGGTATTCCAGCATGACAGTGACCCAAAACACACGGCCAAGGCAACAAAGGAGTGGCTCAAGAAGAAGCACATTAAGGTCCTGGACTGGCCTAGCCAGTCTCCAAACATTAATCCCATAGAAAATCTGTGGAGGGAGCAGAAGGTTTGAGTTGCCAAACGTCAGCCTTGAAACCTTAATGACTTGGAGAATATCTGCAAATAGGAGTGGGACAAAATCCCTCCTGAGATGTGTGCAAACCTGGTGGCCAACTACAAGAAACGTCTGAACTCTGATTGCCAACAAGGATTTGGCCACCAAGCATTAAGTCATGTTTTGCAGAGGGGTCAAGTACTTATTTCCATTATTAAAATGCAAATTAAGTTATAAAATTTTTGACGTGCATTTTTCTGGATTTTGTTGTTATTCTGTCTTTCACTGTTCAAATAAACCTACCATTAAAATTATAGACTGATCATTTCTTTGTCGGTGGGCAAACGTCCAAAATCATCAGGGGATCAAATACTTTTTTCCCTCACTGTAAACCCAAAACCCTATAAACCCCTAACCCTCTAAACCCATTTACCCTCTAAACTCCTTTACCCTTAAACCCCTTTACCCTGAAAACCCTAACCCTCTAAAACCCTACACCCCAAATAGCCTAATCCTCTAAGCACCTAACCCTCTAAACCCCAACCCTCTAAACCCCTAACTCTCGAATCCCCTCAACCCCTAAACCCTATAACCCTCGAAATCCCTAAACCTCTAAACCCCTTATCCCTGAAATAACCCAAAACCTCTAAACCCTTAACTTTATAATCCCTAACCCTCTAAACCCCTAACCCTTTGTGTGGAATGTGGTGGGGGTGGGATCATGGGGTGGGTGGGTGCAATGTGTGTGTGGTGTGCGGTGGGTGGTGGGTATCACAGGGGGGTGAATGGGTGCAGGGTGTGTGTGGTGGGTATGGTGATAGTGGTTGTGGTTCACAACGATCCGTGACCACCACCACCACCTCTACTGTGTGGTGGACCGGCCACCACACAGCAGCACGCATCGGAGGAGTGAACGGATGGTTCTCCCTATGCGGGCCAGACTCCCTCGCTTCCTCTTCTCCTGCATCATCATCATCACCTGATCCTCTTTCCTTGTCATCTCTTTCTCCACCATCTTCTCCACCAATGTCTCCTCCACCTGCACCACCATCTCATCCTCCTGCTCCTTCGTCCATACCTCCTCTGTCTCCCCCCTCATCTCCTCTTCTTCCTGCACCACCAGCTCTTGCACCAGGGTCTCCTCCTCCTGCACCACCAGCTCCTCCACCAGGGTCTCCTCCTCCTGCACCACCAGCTCCTCCACCAGGGTCTCCTCCTCCTGCACCACCAGCTCCTCCACCAGGATCTCCTCCTGCACCACCAGCTCCTCCACCAGGGTCTCCTCCTCCTGCACCAACAGCTCCTCCACCGGAGTCTCCTCTTCCTCCACAACAACCGTCAGCCATTTAGAGGCCTGGGCGAGCGCGGAGGATGGGGGCAGCGCCGGCTCCGCTCTGTTAAGAGATGCGCACGACACCGTTCCAACTTCCTGCTACAGCAGAGATCGAACTCCCCCCCCCCCCCCCCCATCGTGCGGAGATATATTAACCAGGTTAATAACGATGCTGCAGTAACGCAGCATACCTTTACCCATCGTGGGTCTGGTTACAAAATGGGCATTAGTCTTGCGATATCACACTGAATGAAAGCCTACATAGCAAAGATATGGCTGCTTCATTATTTGTCCTCACCCAGAAACCAATTATAAAAATACATCCGTATATAACCGAATGTACACGTGGGGTTTGAACTGTACATGTGTTCGTTGGCAGGTGGCAGGGCTGGAACTCACAGAGGGACCTGGGTTTGATGCCCAAACTTGGGCCACTTTCTCCGTGTGGAATGTGGAGTGTGTTCTACCCCTCCCCCCCCCCCCCCGTTTTATCCTGCATTGGTTTCCAAAATCAGAATAAATTATTTAGACTGGATGAAGAGGAATCCGATAAGCTATGAAGCTCTTCTTTCACAGATATGCAGTCGAGGCACAGGGTCAGCAAGTTACAACAACAAACAAAAGAAAATGAGTGCAACGTGTAAAAATGTAAGCAAGTCACAAAATAACTGAGCATATAAGCACAAAGTACGTAAAATCCTGCCAGTTTTTCAACACTACAAATGTAGGGGTTGTTACGGGGAGAAAGGCGGACAAACACAAGGGTGTCTGGACCCACACACGGGTGTCTACATCCACGTCCGCATCGATTAACCCTGGGGGTGCATGGGGGCGCTGTGATCCCCCATAGCCCCACCCCTCGGAGAGGATTCTTATAAAAGGCGGGGAGCGAGAGAGCTCGAGGCCAGTGTGTTAGACGCTTACCATTGAAGACTGAAGACCGGCAGAATAGGCCCTGGAACTCCCCTGGCTCGCTGTCCTTGTCAGGGCCGAGCAGGGCAAGTGGCGCGGCCCCAAGAGCTCCAGGACCGCATCTCTTGTAAGAGCACGGCCTGGTTAGCTGGGTGCCGGGATCCGTGCTTGACCAGGGCCGGATCAGAGAGCCTCCCCTAGCACTCATAGCAGAGGAATGGGAATAGGAGAAGTCAGGGGATAGTACTAGGGGTGTTTCCCATTGAGTACGGGTGAAGGCGCTGTTACCCCTTCAAGTATTATTACCGCCTTTTGGTTAAATAAAAGAGTGTGCCTCAACTACGTCGTCTGTCTCCCTGAGAACTCACTACACTTGTATAAGTGTAGTGTATCGTGTAGTGTATCGTGTCGTGTATAGTGTAGTGTGTAGGTTAAACGTTGAGTTTTATATGGGCACCACGGGGTGACCAGCCCCTCCCCACCCAGCCCCACCCCTCCCACCCCCCACCCAGCCCCACCCTCCCCACCCAGCCCCTCCCCTCCTCCCCCAGCCCCTCCCCACCCTCCCCTCCCCCAGCCCCTCCCCACCCTCTCCTCCCCACGCAGCCCCACCCCTCCCACCCCCACCCTCCCCTCCCCATGCACGACAGACAAATAATCCCTGGTGGGCAGTGTGGAACCTGTTGTTCCTACCGGTATAAAAGTGGGAAATATCTGAACCGGTCCTGGGCCTCCCCTTGGTCGACTCAACCTCAAATGAGTACCTGATACAGTGGGTACACATCACCACGAGGGAGACAAATGCGGCTGGGCGTGGTGTTGGCCACCCACTCCCCTGTGTACTGTGCCAGTCCTCATTAGGTGCTCACTAACACCACTTGCCTCAAAAATCTGTTAAGGCTATGAGGGGGATCTTTGTACAGTGGCATTGACTACGTATAAACTGATACTTTGCACGGAGTTTATAATACAGCATGGCCTATGTGTAACGCATCATATACCGTGTACAC